ATCATGTTTGTCGCACCACCAGTGTCCCCCCTTTTTGTAATTCCATATGTGAAACTGGGCAGTCTGTGCCCCTTTAGTGCCCTTCACCTGTCAGCACCAATCCTGATGGGTGGGTGAAAGCAGTTTATAGCTCCTTCTTTTCTTTTTACCACTAACTCAACCGTATCAAGCATCCTAGCTCTTCCACACTTGTTTCCCATTGTTCTAGCATGCATGTGGCTCCACACTGTTTCTGCTCTCTGTTTCCCAGGGCTACTGACAAGATTGACAGTCCTGCTGTTAGTGTCTCTTCCCCCAGACTATATAGACACTTGGTATATCTCTCTTCACTCAATGTTCAATGACAGTGTTTTCTGTGGGGTAGTTGGTCGTGGTTCTGATGTCCAAGGAGTACATCAGTTTCAGACTGAGATAAGGGCTCTTGTAATGCAATGTTCTTATTAACTGTTAGATTTTCCTTTCAGAGTGAAGCAAGAAACCTCTTCTGTTACCATCTTTGTGACATTATCTTCTGTGTCTTCACTTTTTCTAAATACATAGCACATCATGGCTCTGGATTTGTAGGGAGGAAACATTCTGAAATACTGATTAAACAACCTATTTTTCTGTTGACTCAAAAAGCTACTTATTTAGAATTGGTGTATTCTCAATGAAGAAAGCACTGCATAAAATTTGCCTGATAGTTGAAGTTGTCTGACACTCTCAATAGATGAAATTATAGAAATACTTTTGAAATAAGGGTGTGTGGAGTCTTTGCTAAACCTGAATAGAGTCCTTATCTCTTAACACTCAAATATTTCCATATCTACTATTGTATCATAATTGAAAGTTAAGTGCAGTCCTTGGAAATGTGTAACTGTCAATGAAACGGGGTTTGTAGATGTATAAAGTCCTGTGATTGGGTAGTCTCAGCAGCAATCTCTTTTGGGAATCATGCCCTCAGGTCACATTTTAGGTTTAGTCAATATAAATTAAAGACTCTTATATCAGCTGCTCTGATTTACTGCAGCCTCTTCCTTAGCTCTACACTATTGCTACAATGGGATTTTTCCTGATGACCAACTTATGGTAGAGGAAAATATTTAGTTATGACATGTGTATGGGTTAGGTTATGAGAGCACTACTCAAAAATGAACTTTTTCATTATAGTATGACACAGGAAGATACTAGAGGAATAATGGCAAACAGAAATTTCCTCCATGAACAATATACTGAAAACTATACTAGAATGTAATTTCCAAGAGAACTGATAACTTCCAGAAGTTAACCAGATATTCTCCAGCTTTTCTAATTATCAGCATAGGGAGGTCATTAATGTCAGGATAGTAGCAATGCAGACAATCATAGGTATAATAATACAGAATCCTTTCCATCTGTATTGATACAGTTATTGGTATTTGTTTCTGCCTGACTTGCCAGCATTATGAGGTTTGGAGCCATGATATAGAGACTAGTTAGACACCTATGATTATCCAAATATATTTTATCTACCTTAGATGAATGTAATTCATGTATGCCAGAACTGATAAATTGTCTGAATCCGGGTTAGATTTTCTGTACATATTACCTCCATAAGTAGCTCCAATTATGGTTTCACACAAGGACTTGTCTATCAACATGATAACCCATACAACATTGTCTTAGACCAAAATAATCATTTTATTTGAAATGAGCTGGTACAATGGAATGATGACCATGGGATAGAGTGGTTCTGTAGTTAATGATCAGTAACCTAGAATAAATCTAAATGAACTTCTAAACATATTACTAAAGACTCTAAAGCATCAGTTCAATGGTTCTATCTTCATGCTTAGGGCACTTTCCTTCTCATTGCAACGCATTTGTTAAGCAAAAGGCACTAAATGGGATTGTGAGTTCACATGAGTCCAAGGAATATGGATGAAGGTAGTTATATATCTTACAAAAGGATGCACTTACATAATTCTGTTCTCATAACTTGGGGTTCTGTTTCTGGTACTTAGGAACTACATTTCTGCCAGAGGAACTCAAAAACGCAGGTCACTGAAATAGAAGCTATAATTACGAGCTGACTACTTTGAATTTTTTGTGTCGTTGAATCTGCAGGCAAAGTATATTTACTATACATTCTGTCCTAGTTTGTTTATCCCATAAAGCATATGGAAGATTTACTTTGCATCACTTATTCCATGCATCTTGAAAAATATCTTGGGAATTTCAACAAGAAGCTCAAACAAGGGTATGATCAGTAAAGGTTCAGGCATTTATGAGATGAAGTTCTTGATTTCTATTCAAGTTTCTCAGCAAGATAATGCATCTGCAATAATTTGGGGAGGGTCGGTGGTACAGGAGAGAGGTGATAAATATCAAATAGTACATCAGGAGGAACTGAAGGGGCAAGGATTATAAATTGTTTTATTAATTATATTTGTTTTAAGTTGTTTTAGGAGATTACAATTGACCAACAGCTTGAAAAGGGTATTATAGTTATTAGATGTTTAGATGTCTTATTGTGTGATTACTCTTTTTTAAAACAAAATTATTTAGGAGATAAGCATGAGACAACATTATAAGCAATTCTGTTTAAGTGAACTATACCTGATACATTCTATGCTACACTTAAAACAAGCTGAACTTGACTAATGTTCTGGCGTTTAGATGGTTACTTCTTTTAGTTTTGTGATAATTCTGTTAAAGCACTCTGAGGTTTGTATAGTTTTACTAACTAAGGCTAATAACTGGAACTTCTGTGAGCATGTGAAATATAAGACAGCATGAGGTAGGATCTAACTTACCTAGAAGTTGCTTCAACTACTGATGATACAGTTCAGAAGTTCAGGAGAACTAAACTCATGGAACAAACTTTGATCAATGGGATATAGTACACAGGAGACCTGATTAATAAATCCCTTTTCTGTTACTGCCTCTGAAGTAATGCTCTGAAGCAATGATTTCTCTGTATATCTTCTCTAGAGTTTTCTTGTGAAACCGAAATGCATTCTCTTTATGAAGGAGAAACTAGTTTGATAACATATCACCAAATATTTGGTTCTTACCTTCCATGCCTCATGTTTTTCCTGTCTCACTAGCTTGGAATTGTATCTTTCAAAAATCATGAAAATCCAAGCTTTATATGAGGCTTCTGCTTTTACAGAGGAACCTGAAATGAATATAGCCTAGGTTGTCAACAGTTATCCCAACACTTACCAGTTAATATATAAAATGAGATGATGCTGCAAATCATTTGTTCGGTGAATTCAACTGATGTGATTTTTTTAGAGCAATTTCTCAGTGTCTATTAAATTTTATCTTATTATTTTTATTGAGGTAACATGAGTTTATAATGCTGTAGGATTCAAAGATATTAAGTTCATAACCATCCTCTATTAAATTTTAAATTCACATATCCAGCCCACCACTTGTTTTTATTATAAGTCTTTTCAGAATATAGTCATGTCCATTAGCTTATTTATTGTCTATGGCTGTGTTTGAGCTACAATATCAGCTTAGTAGTTGAAACCACATGGCTCATGACTCAAATATTTACTATCTAAACTTAACACAAAAAATAGTGGATCATTGGTTTAAAAGTTAAGAAAACATGATTACTTTAAAATAAGTTTATAGAAAGAGTATTCTTATGTCATTCCAAGAATTAAACTGAATATATGCTTTTTCTTCCCAGTATCTATCTTTTTTTTTTTTTCTTTCTGGTAATAAATGTGCCATCTTGAAAGATTCACTTCATTAATCTTAGCCAAGTTACTTAACTGTTTTATGCCTCTCTCTCTTCATATATATGAAGGAAAGTCTGTAAAAACAGCATCTACACCCACTGCATTATAGAGGAGATAATGCATATATAGTGCTTAGTGCAAAACTTGTTAATGCCCCTTGGCCTGCCTCTTTTTGTTCCTTGTAATTACACATGATAGTCACTTAAAATATATGACTGTCTCAGATATTTTCCTTCAAATATTCCAATAAATATATTTCCAGCAGAAAACAAAGGACATAATTTGCCTCCACATTTCCGTTGTGCTAATTTATTCATTCTCTTTTTTAGGCACACCCATGAATTTAGAATTTTGATTTTTGGCTCCCCTCTGTAGTAGAAATATATATGAACAATCTGTATATCTTATTGGACAATGGAAAATGTGGGTAACTTATTCCACTTTAGCAATTCAGTTTTCTTTAGGGCCCTCAGGTCTATGATGTGGCACTGGTTATTAATTAAAAACAAACAATGCTATGAGATAAGAACTCTGACAAAAATCAAAATTCTAGAGAAAAAGGGAAATGAGTAGAAGTTAATCTATGATAGGAACTGTCTTGAAGAATGTACATGATGATGACTATGTCATCCCCACTCTATCTGTCACAGTTGCCATAGTATGAGCACATAAACCATAGCTCATAAATGTTTCTCAGTAATACGATGAATGGGTAAAAATCAAAGGACAGGGCCTCCCTGCTGGCGCAAGGGGTTGAGACGCAACCTATGAAGCTATCTGCAGCCACTGCAGCATGAGTTCGATCCCCTGCCAGAGAGATACCTATATGGTGCAGCAGACCGCTCCTGACTCGCCCACTGCTCCCCTCAGCAGTGTATTTCAGTCGGTCTGCCTGTTCTGTTCTCCACTCTGTCTCTGGTGAATCTCTCACCCCCCATACCTCTGGCCTTTACCCCAGTTCTTGTTTGCATAAATAAATCTTAAAAAAAAAGAAAATCAAAAGACAATGTTGAGTTTTATCATTCAAGATACTGGGATAAACTGAAATACCATGCAAAAAGTAAGAAAAAATGTAGCTTTGGGCAATTCACAATAATCTGAAATAAACAGACATGTATATGTATTGATTTACTGATTCTCAAAATTCAGATTATATGAGAGTAGAAATTCAAGTTCAGCTTGCAATTAGGAGCATCATATACAGTTTTAAGCAAATAAGGAAATCTATATAAATACTAAATACATAAATATTAAAGACAGAAAAGGATCTATTTTCTAGTCCCTTTATTCATGCTGCATAGTGTAAGCAAATGAGATTAGCATGCATTTGTGAGCCTGGGGCCAGAGTCAGGGCAGAAATCAACAGGTGCTTCCAGCTGCTGATTGAAAGACAAAAAGGAAAGTTAACATAGATTAGAGCTATCTAATTAAGAGGGACTATCAGAACCAAATGATATATTAACCTTTGTTTCATCAATAAGAGTTAGACCATCCTGACTTTTTATACATTTAATTAGCCTAATTAATATGATCTACTTTGGTGAAACATAGGATGGAATTTTACATTGCAAAAATTATTGTGCAATGTATTAACTGATACATTTTTAAAATATTTAGTCATACAAGGCATTTATTAAGAACTCTTTATATGTAAATTATTGTTAGCCTTATTTCTATTATTATTTAGTAAAATTACTAGAAATGAAATTAGATATTTAAACTGAAGATTTTGTTGAATTTTATTTATTTTAATGGAAAGCTTTTAAATTATTTTAATTAACACATCTATCTACTAACTTACATATACTGATGTACTTAAGAAGAAATTAATAAATTTTAAAGATGTTTGAAATAATAATCCCAAAATTGCAGTCAGTATTATGACTCCACATGTATTCTGCTATATATTTTAAGGACTTCATACTCCTATTAAATCTGAATGATATAAAGCCATAATATTTTTCTTTGATCCTAAATTACTTGATATCCCTATTATGGTACATTATGTTAGACTACTTGCTTTGTTCTGCCATGGTCTGGTGAATTAATTATATGTAATTCTTCTTGTTCTGATTTAGCCTTTCTTCAAGATTAGATCAAAACATGAAGTATTACAGCGATAGTCCCTGATGCATTAGTTCAAGAAGCAATGTAATATCACATTTGTCACTTATTTTATCAATCTATGTATCAAAAGCACTTTGCAGTTAAATGCAGAAAGTGAAAATTCCAGCAAAGCAGTCCAGATTTCACAAGGGGAAAATCAAAGCATTTCCTCAATGTTGTTTTGCCGAGGAACACAGATCTAACAAGTAGGAGTAATTAGGAAAATTAGGGATAACTCTACCTATCTCCTTCCTTAAGTCCATAGATGAATATGCATCATAAAACTTTAGAGTAAATACTACCAGTTGGGGAAAAAATGTATGTAAGTTGAATTGTTGATACATTAAGGCATAGATTTTCTACCTCCATTTTCTAAAATTTCCATATAGTACCACTTTTGGTGAAATACAGTTTTGGTTATTAAAAAAAATATTTCCATAATTTATTAATTGCATTGACTTCCTCAATTTCACATATAGAGGTGACACTTTGATAGTTTGCTTACACTTAAATCATTTTAAAAAAGGAGAAATGTTATGTTTTTATTTAAAAAGGTATGTAAAGTTAATAACAATAGCTACTTTTACAGATTATGGAGCTGTATTTGTGTGTACTTAACTAACAGCATTAAAGAAATATGTATTTTTCTAGAATAAGGGACCAGGAAAATGAATAACTGTAAGAAAGTGAAAATCAAAATCAACAAAAAACTATGAACCAGAGACACTTTTTGGGGGATGGGGTTGGGAGGGGAGGGATTGGGGTCAAAATGGGGGGGTTGCAATTGTATGGAAATATAAAAATAAAATATATTATTTAAAAAAAGTATTTTTGATCATAGTGAACAAATTAAAAAATAATAACTTTAGGAGTTATAATGAAAGTTACAGCTTTCCCATATTAACAGCCTTTAATCAAAACAAACCTGAAGCTTTACTTTTTTTTTTTTTTTCCTACCAGATAGCATTCCTACTCTGTTGCCTGCCTTTGGGTCTTTCAACCACAAGTAATGATTCCTGACTACCTTGCTGTAATACATTCAGCTATAGCACATAACTTTCACTTACTCTCATTTGGGGGATATAGGGCAGAATTATGAACATCTCTTCCAAATGAATTTGTTTAAATCCATTCTTCCATATTTCAGAATGCGACTGTATTTGCAGACAGAGCCTTTAAAGAGATAATTTAAATTGAATGAGCTCATTGGGGGAACAGAGATGGGGGTCCTAATCCAACAATACCGGTATTCTTAAAAAGGAGATTAAGTTATACAGAGGAAAGATCATGTGAAGGCTTAAAGAGAAGATCATCTAAAAGACACAGGGAGAGGTCCTCAACAGAATTTTTGGGTCTTTTTTGCCTCCAGAATCACTAACAAATGATTTTTTTATTTAAGCCACCCAATCTTAGGACTTTGTTATATTGATTATACTCTTGGTGGCTCTAAATTTGAATTCAACAAACTCTATAGAGCAATTAAATGAATAATTAGCACCTGAAGAGACTAAAAGAGAAGCAAATATGTAACCCAAGACATGAACTCCAAAATAAGCATTTTTTTAAAGATTTATTTATTTTTATGCAAGGACTGGGTACATGCCAGAATAGCGGGAGGGTGAGAGGATTCACCAGAGACAGAGCGGGGAGCAGAACAGGCCAAAGGACCGAAATACACTGTGGAGGGGAGCAGCAGGCGTGACAGGAGAGGTCTGCGCACCATGTGGGACTCTCCCCAGCCGGCTGGTATCAAACCCGCATGGAACCCACGCTGCAGAGGCTGCGGAGAGCTTCACAGTGCCGCGCCCAATCCACTGCGCCACCAAGGGGAGTCCCAAAATAAGCTTTCTCCTCATTATTCTGGCAGACCTCTTACTCTGACAGTCATTAATGATATTATCTCAGTTTGAGATGGAATACAGATCAATCTCCACAAATTGGTAAAACTGCTGATAGAAAATTACATTATTCTATATTTCTTGTTGGCTAGTCTTGGTGGCATCTATAATGTGGCTAATACTTCTTGTACTAGGATCATCGAACCAGACAAGATGAACCAGGTCCCATTGCCTTAAGGAAACAGATACTTGATTAACTAAGATTAGTCCTCATGGGCTATAGAATTTGTTCTCTTGACCTAGGCTGAGAAACTGGTGTTGGCCATTTTCAAAGCACCTTACAGGGAATACCAACTGTTCTTGTTTTCATCATACTGATCATAATGCTGGTCTGTTGCATATTGCCCAGAGATTGATTGATTGATTGATTTTTAAAGATTTATTTATTTGTACAAGAGCTGGGGTACAGGCCAGAGGCATGGGAGGGTGAGAGAGACAGAGTGGGGAACAGAACAGGCAGATTGACTGAAATACACTGCTGAGGGGAGCAGCGGGTGAGTCAGGAGAGGTCTGCTGTGCCATGTGGGTTGCTCCCTGGCCAGGGATCGAGCTCGTGCTGCAGTGGCTGCAGACAGCTTCATAGGTTGTGTCTTAATCTCTTGCACTACTGGGGAGGCAATGTCCAGAGATTTAAGTGTTTCTAAAAATCTGCTATTTAAATAATCACCATACTATAAAACTAAAAGATGTTGCAATGTAATTATCTATAAATATAACTGAAAAATCAATGACAAAAATCTAAATTACTAGATCACAAGTGGTCTGAATTGGCCCACTTATCACAAGTGAGGGAATGACTAGAAGGGGTGACTGAGTGAAAATATAAAAACACATGATAATTAAACCAGGTACTAGAAAAACCCAGTATAAATGTATGATCTACTTTTCTTGAAGCCAAATAGCAACCCTTATAGCAATGTGCCCAAAAAATCGCCAGGGCCTTATTAATAACTGATAGCTTTCTTAATTCTTGCACCCACTTCCAACTTAAGACCACTTGGAGAAAGTTAAGTATATACCCATTAGTAATCATATTGGAAACCAAACTTCTCCTTAGCCTACCTAACTTTTCCATACCAACAGTTTCCAATTAGGGCATATCTTATCTTAAGTCTTCATTTTTCCCCCCACTACAAAGTCTCCTCATTCCTCTGCCTGCCTAAATTTCTCTACCAAAGGCATATATCAGTTCCTGAATTCTTTATATAACAATCTTTGAATAACTTTTGCTTGGTCTTATTAGGGTTGTCTTCATTTATTTGTACATGCATACTAATTTAATAATAGCTGCTAGATAGTATTGTATTTCTGTTGCCAACTTTCAAATATTTGAAATTCTTCACATTGGTGGAATGAAAAAAAAAAAAAAAGGTTGATAACAGGTTCTTGGAATCGTGGCTATATTTCAGAATTTTCCAAAGAAACAAAACCAGTATGTGTCTTTGTATATGTAATCTATTATATCTGGTTTGGCTAATGTCATATTATGAAGGCCCCAAATCTGCAGGGTGAGTCAAGTTAATGATCTATAGAAGAAGGATAGTTAATGATTTAGTTCCAGTCTGAAGGAGATATGAGAAGCAGTGAAAGCAGTGATGTATTCTAGCTTGGAGACCAGTAGATTCAGGACAGATGAAGAACAGATGCTTTACTTTGAGTCCAAAGGCAGGAAAAAAAGTCAGTGTACCAGTCAGAAGGCTGTTAAGCAAGACGAATGCACCCTTACTCAGTGTAGGATGCATCTTTTTTGTTCTAGTCAATCAATCTACTGATGGAACAAAGTCCACTGACACAAGGGCTATCAGTTTTACTCAGGCTATGGCTTTAAATGTTAATCACATCCATACCCTTATGGAGAGCCCAGAATGTTTAACAAAATGTATATGCAACTTGTGGTCCAATAAAGGAGACATATCAAATTACCTATTAAGTGCCAAACATTTTTCTAGTTCCTCTTATAAGGAAAGAGTAAAAACTATTCTAAGCATTATAAAATAGAATTATCTGAGATGAAGTAAAAAAGGAGACTAACAGAAATTTAACATGCAGATGTGATGACAAATTCAATTCGAGATATATTAAGTTTGGTATATACTGATATATTCAAGTGCATACAGGAAAAAAAAACAGTGTATAAGTGTGACCAATAGGAGAAATATTAGTACTGAAGATATAAAATTGAGAGACACTGGATTATAGGCAACGAGTAAAACATGATGATAGGAGAGGTCTCTTGTTAAAGACCATAGCTGAAGAAAACAATAGCAGCTAGGACCGAGTTCTGAAAAATTCTAACATTTAGAAGCCAGATAGGTGAAAAAATGACTGAGGAGAAGCAGAATTTTTTATTGATGAAATGCAGAAATAAAAGTGTCATATAAAATAAACTTTACAAAAAGTGAATAGTCAGCTGTATCAAATAGAACTAGGAGACTGATTAGTAGGTGAATGAACATTATCAACTATGCTTTGCAATATGGAGGTCATTAAGGTCTGTGAAGAGAAGTTTCTATAGTAATTCCAGTGAAAATCTACGTAATGTGGTCTAACTGACTAGACTTTTGGTTTTGGTTCAAAGGTGAACTAGATAACTCAAAAATAACTAAAAATACAAAAAGTGACAATATTTTTAAGTGTTTGGCTGAGAAGGTGTAAAAAAGAAGAAATATATGGAGACCGGAAACCAAATAGGAATTGTGTAAGCTCTTAACTAAGAAACATATGCCTTTAGGGCCTCCCCGATGGTGCAGCGGTTGAGCGCTGGGTTGCAAAGCTGCCTGCAGCCTCTGCAGCACTGGTTCAATCCCCGGCCTACGGGCGAGGGTCTCACATGGCGCGCAGACCTCTCCTGCCACCCACTGCTCCCCGCAGCAGTGTACTTCGGTCCTTCTGCCTGTTCTGCTCTCCCCTCTGGCTCTGGTGAATTCTCCCACCCTCCACGCTTCTGACTGTACCCAGTGCTTGTATAAATAAATAAATAAATCTTAAAAAAAAAAAAAAAGAAACGCATGCCTTTATAAGAGACATAAAATATACATGACTCCTTAAGGAGACATAATATGTGGGAGGGAGACTTAATATTATCCAGTTGCTAAATGTTCTTAAATAAAGCTATCAATTTCAATTCAATGCACTCAAAATTAAAGTCACACTGGATTTTGCCATGGAACCTGACTTTCTTATTCTTCAATTTATATGGCAAAGCAAATGAATATGAACCACTATTAAAAATTAAACAGAGGGCCTCCCCAGTGGCGCAGCGGTTGAGCGCTGGGTTGCGAAGCTGCCCGCAGCCTCTGCAGCATCGGTTCGATCCCCGGCTGCTCCCCGGCCACCGGAGGAGGGTCCCGCATGGCGCGCAGACCTCTCCTGCCGCCCGCTGCTCCCCTCAGCAGTGTACTTCGGTCCTTCTGCCTGCTCTGCTCCCCGCTCTGGCTCTGGTGAATTCTCTCACCCTCCCGCGCTTCTGACTGTGCCCAGTGCTTGTATAAATAAATAAAATAAAATAAAATAAAATAAATCTTTAAAAAAAAAAAAATTAAACAGAGGTGTTACCACATATCAAAGCACACATTATGTAGAATATGATATCATCTAAGTAAATATAAATATTCTAATTAAAATTAAACAACATTTGCAAAGGCCTACGTATTTCCTAAGATTTATATTTTTAGGGATAAAAATGGCAGAATAAGGGCCTCCCCTGGTGGCGCAGGTGGTTGAGTGCAGCGCTATGAAGCTGTCCGCAGCCTCTGCAGCGCCTGTTTGATCCTGGCTGGCCAGCGAAGGTCCCACATGGCACAGCAGACCTCTTCTGTCTCGCCTGCTGCTCCCCTCAGCAGTGTATTTCATCAGTCTGCCCGTTCTGTTCCCTGCTCTGCTCTGGTGAATCCTCTCACTCTCCTGTGCATCTGGCCTGTACCCCGGTTCTTGCATAAACAAATAAATAAATCTTTAAAAAAAGGGGCAGAAAAAATCTGTGAGGATAAACATCAAACAATTGCAAGTTTTTGGTTTTGGCATGGTATAAAAAGGAACTCTAGTTTACCTATAAAAGCTTCAATTATGTATTCACTATTAGTTGGGAAACACATTTTATTTAAATAGGAAAGCATAAGAATTGCAGAGGCAGACATTATAAGCTAAGGATCTCTTCAGAAGATTGTTAATGAAAGAAAAAAAATGGGTACTGTTTTACAGATATGCAAAATACAAAGACATGTTTGAATATTAATAGGAATGAGCCTTTGGAGAGAGAGAGCTGAAAAAACAAAC